CACGACACTGTGTCTCAGGGGATCTTAATATTTAAGAACCTCTTAATGTGTTATACCAGATTAATGGGAAGAATCTCAGCTAACTGACGATACAAACAATTTTTACCAAATCAAAACACAAGTCTCATAAGAAGCATCTAAATGACCCCTGAGCGAAAAATGCTAACGTACTTTGGCACAGAACTCAAGATAAAAGATACCCTTATTACTTATCGTAGCTGCACATACAATATATTCGATTAAAGCTGAGGTTCCACAGATTATTTAGGTATATAGTATCATCACTGAGTGATCCGAACTCGCGACAGGGGAAACAAACAGAGACATAACAACACGTACCTTTACGTAGCTTTTACGGGAGATCGTCTCACCGTAGCTGTCAATCTGATCAAAAGACTTGTTCAATGCATTTCACTTGTTTTGCATCAATCTTGATACAGGGTACTTATTATATATGTTGTAGTTTGGATTCCTAAAGCTTTTAGTCTACCATCCCATCGTTCAAGGGTGGTTTTCACTAGAAGTAATTTTTTTTTTTTGGACGGACACAATAATTTACATTGTTTTTACTGTGTTCAATCTGAATTTACTTTAAAATAAAAACATCTATATTGTTTCTGACACTTCTACATCCAACTCACAGGTTTAACCTTGCTTTGAGAAAAAAGATGATTAATTTAACCCTTTTAGAAGGGAAGATATGGTCATTTGTTCTGGGAATGTCATTTTCGAGCCTGAGACCTGAAAAACAGGCTCGGGGCTTAACAGGTTAAAACAAGTTGTTACTCAAAATATATAATAATTTATAAAACACAATAATTGGTCGTTTTTTTTACATGTTTAAGTTTTATGAACTAATTCCGTAACCTTAACTTGATCCCAAAGCTTTACGGTGATGCAAGTATTAAAGGAGAAAGCAATAAGATAGTAGGTCCAGTCATTGTTTGTCCTCAGGCAAGATGATGGACTAATATGTCCAGAGGAAATGTTTTCTTTTTGTTATTAGGAACTCAAGTCCCAGGTTCTTTCCCATGAAGTCTCGCAGTGACTCGCGATGAGTGTGCTAGTGATGATACAAGATGATACAGGATGTTTGTTTTGTGTTTATTTTTGGGGGGGAATAGATAAAAGAAACATTCAGAACTAGTTGGGCTTCTTTGGAATCAGCACTTCCTTGTTTAGTAAATTGTCTGCCAGTGTTTTTTGCTTAGTCAACGTGTTAATCTAACCTTGGACAGAATTGAAATCATGCAGTGGGAGTTTCTTCAGCCTGTAGTCGAAAATTAAGTTAAGTTTTGTCATCATGTAAGACTCATGTTAAAGGTGGGGTATGTAATTTATTTCAGAAACACTTTTTGTTATAATCCATGGAATGCTCTTAACATCCCGATAGCAATGAATACATTTAATGCTTTGACAATAAATCCATAAAAAAATTCATCTGTGGAAGCCGTGGCGCTGTAAAAAGCACGACCAATCATCTGAGCCGGCCCGGCTAAAATAACTGGATGGCCTACCTGCCTGTCAGCCTTCCATCTGTGCACAAACTTATCTCGTGCCCTCATTGGTCATGTGCGCGTTCGTGTGTGTTGGAGGAGGGGCTCTGTAAGGAAGTCTGAATGAAGGGGCAGATTTTTTTCGGTTGTGTATTTTCAAATTCTAGCGCACTCGAGCTGGTTTCTCCATTCTTACCTACCCCACCTTTAACCTTCTCTCTTTTCGTTTGGTCACGAAATGTGTTAACAGCGCTGAATTTGATTTGATTTTAAATTAAATTTCTCCTTATTTAATTGTTTAAGACTTTATTTAAATAATGTAATTTTTTCTTTTGGAATTAATTTTTTTTTTTGGAGTTGCAACATTTTACAACAGGGCCTTCTTTCAAATCAATACTAAATCTGTGGTTTAAGACATTATACATTAAATGTTATACAAAAAAGGTAAAGGTCCTAAAATGTCATTTTATAGGTTTTAAAATGAATGCTCTTCTATAAGTTCTATTAAGGTCCTAAGAATGAATAATGTTGTTGCTCGGTGGGAGAAAATTGAACCACTGTTATCTATAAATCTATAGGTTATCGATAAGATTTTTGTTATATATCACTATAAACATGTCGATAGGTTTGTGCAATTGAAGTAATTGTGGGACTTACAATCATAGGCTCCATATTGTCCTCCTTAGTTCTGCTAAAATGACGACCATGTGAGGAAATGTGTATGATATGTTATTCTTTGTGAACATAAAGTGAGTTAAGTTAAAACCTGCAGAGACCTCGTCTGATTGGCCCCCTGGTGAGCTCACCCTCACTACCATATAAGGGCACGAGCACACCCTGATTAGATATCTTTCCACCAGAAGGCAGCTATGGTGGTAAAAGGTGATGACATCATGTCGACTCACTTCCTGGTTGAAAGGCTGACACTATAGAGAGCTGAGGAGTATAAGAGGAGGGCTGAAGGCTTCCTGCTTCACTCCTCACTCCTCTCTGCTGAGTGAAGGAGGTGGAGGCTCCAGGAGGGGCCCTTCAGCAGGGGCCCCTCAGCAGGTCTCACAGGGGGCTCAGTGAGGAGCTTTGGTAGTGTTCAGGGAAACAGAAGACAGGGAATAAGATGTTGAAGATTCACTGTTGGGTTCCCTGACGAAGGTAAGGTGCTGACATGGTGAGTTTTTGTTCCTCCTGCAGGGCTGTGCCTAGAGTGGGGCCCTCGCTGCAGAAGCCCTTCAGTCAGTACCTGGAGGCCCAGAGGAACAAGCTGCACCACGCCGGAGGGAGCGCACCAGCGGTGAGAACAACTCTTTGTTTGATCAAGAGAAACCCTTGTTTTTAACAGTGGTACTTGTACTTTACCTGAAGATCTTCAATGTATGCTTCTTTATACTTCATCTTTTAAGACAGTATTGTACTTTTTACTCCACTACGTTTATACAACAGCTTTTATCAGGGTGTCCGCGGGGTCTTAAAAAGTATTAAAAGTTGATCAATCTATTTAGCGAAAATTAAGGCTATTAAAAAGCATTAAACGGCATTTTCCAGGTATTACATTTTGTAGCTTGTTTTCAATAAGTATATCAATTGTCCAAAGAGGTTGTATTCTACAGTCTGCCTGAATGTAATCATTGCGTAGGTGTGTAGTGTGATTCTGTGTAGTTTATTTATGGCATCCCGTTGGATTTGACGTCATCTGAACAGGACGTTGCACGCTCACTGCTTGATAGCGCGCGAAGGTCCGTTTACGCCGGTTGCTAAGCAACATCGTTATGGGGAAATGCAAGTCTGCGTCCAAATGGTTGGAAGATAAGGAGGAAGGACAATCAATACTGTATATAGTGAATGTGAGGTAAAGTGTGTCGCCAAGGTAACCAGTTAAAACTCCAAGTAGCGATGAGGTCTTAAAATGTATGGAAAGGGTCTTAAAAGGAATTACATTTGACTTCAGGATTCCTGCATTTACCCTGTTTATAGATTCAGACTTGTAGCTAATATCAATACATAAACATTGACATTATTTTAATGATAAGATATCCAGAAGTAGTTTAAGAAAAGTAATAACAGTTAGCTCCACATTTACCAGCTGTGATGAATAATCCAGACATTTTAAATAAATATCTTTCCACATTAATGTAATGTAACATGTAATGTAATATCTTTCCGACATAGGCAATGAAGCTTAACAATTATTTTAACTTTATGTACCAAAGTTCATTTTGATGCCAGTACTTTTACTTAAATAGGATTTTGAATGCAGGACTTTACAGTGTTTTTACTGCTTAGTTCTGCTACTTATTAGAACTTATTCCACCTCTGGTTTTTAATCAACAAAATGTGAGCTCTATAAATCCATTCATTTGTTAATATGAACAATATAAATGCACGTCTTTTGTCTTACTCTGAGCTGGGAGCTTGTTCTAGCGTAGCCCAACGATACTTAATTTTTAAATATAATTTAAAGTTTGGAAAGTCAGATAGCGACACATTTACCTTTTCTTTGTTTTAGATAAATGCACAATGCTTTTTAGAAGAAGGGAATAAAATATATGTTGAAATGATACGTAATGTGCCCTCTAGTGGACAAAGTATGTAACAACGAAACGGATCAATTTCTTTATTCAATTAAAAAAAACGTAATGTACTGGAATGACTTACTTATTGGCAACATATGGGTGAGGGACCCAAACTCCTTAAGGAGGGAACACAGGGATTGTAGTCTTTGCAGACTATTTACATGCACACAAACCTATATAACAGACTACAGGGAAGAGAACACCCCAAAAAGCCGAATATGGCCTCTTTAAGTACACTACTTGAGTAAATGTAATTAGTTGCTTTCCACCATTGGTAAATAACAGCTTATGCTCTCCCAATGTTTGTGTTCCCAGGATGAGAACTGGCTGTCGTGGGTGTTTGAGAAGGTGGTGCTCGTCATGGTCTGCTACTTCGTCTCCTCCATCATTAACTCCACGGCTCAGAGCTACGCCAAGCGGCTGCAGCAGCAGAGGCATTCAGAGGAGAAGACCAAGTGATGACGAGTCAACAACAACAACAACAACAACAGAAGGAGCGCTGCAAACATCCAAGTGACAGTGTTTGTTTCTGCTGCTGCCTCCCCTCGACCACAGCCACTCACAACTTAACAACAAACCTCACCCCCCCCCTCCCCCATCCATTCTCAGAGGCTGACCACTGAAAAACAAGCACTATGTGTCGGTTTGTGTGAGTGTGTATGTGTGTTGGTGTGCGCTTTTGAGGATGTCCCTCTTCAGGTTTTGTAGTTCTTCCTCTCATCTCACTCTAGGTTTGTCTTGTAGGTGGTCTGGTGTTACTTTGAATTAACCCTTTGTTGACCTCAGCAGTAAAGCAGCAACGGTTGGGTGGGGGCTGTGTGTGTGCAGCGCCCATCAGATGCCTTATGCAAGACGGGAGCGCCTGACTTCCCTTTGAATATAGTTATTTACTCATTAACTTGATTTTTATTTAATTTTTGTAACATTTACTTTATTCAGCGTTAAATTATCCTCATGTTTCTGTCCGGTTTAAAAAAATTTAAAAAAAGTGAGACCAATTTCTCTTTTAAAATGTTGGAGGGAAAAAATAGCAATATCAACTTAAAGCAGTGTGGTGTTGATGGTTTGCACATTGTGTAAATATCTTAATATCTTTTTTTGACGGTATGCGCAGATGTATTTCTATTCTGATGGTCTGTGTGGAAAACAAAAAAGAAGTGATATCATTTGTAAAAGTGACATTGTACTCTGAGCTAACTAGTCCCATTTCTATTCTGTACATTTAGGTTGATTCAGATCATATATAAAACGTGTAAATCATTGCACCCGTTTCCAAGTCTGTCCGTTTATTATTTATCCCCCTATAGGCAGTGGCGGACTGAACGTCCCGATGGGCCGGTCGGACGATGTGGGCCGGTAGGACGATGTGGGCCGGTAGGACGATGTGGGCCGGTAGGATAAGTCACTAGCAGCCCCCCGTTTGCAATTTACTACCGGTACCGCGGTGGGCCGGTCGGATAAGTCACTAGCA